CATAGACTTGCAACATTAACCTACTTATCCCAGACGGTTCACCCCGACGTAATTCCGATACACCATGGAGCCTGCCGTGTGATTTTTATATTTGGGAATAAAACGGAGGACAAGGAAGGAGAGGTTGTACGCGTTCTCGACTATGGTGAAATATAATGTTGATGTTTTGCCCGTCATTTACTCTTACACGGTGCGCACCAGTGTGGTGGAGTGGTGGAGTTTTTGTATAGGGCCAAAATAAATAAATAAATAAATAAACTAACAAATAAATTAATTAACGAATAAATAAATAAATGAATGAATAAATAAATAAATACATTAATTAATAGATAGATAAATAAATAAACAAAATAGATCGATAGGTAGATCGATATCTAGATAGATTAATAAATAACCATGACACTCATAGATAGATAATTAGATAGATAGATAGATGGATGGATAGATAGACAAACAAATAAATAAACAAATGAATAAATAATAAATACGATTTAAAAAACAACAGGGTAGCCATGTCAGTGACCGATCTATGTTATTCCAGTTCCGGTGTATGGTCTATGGTCTATGGTTTCGTGGTCTATGGTTTCACCTCCGAGCAGGTGGTAGGAGGTGACTGGCCCTTTAACTGTCCACAGCCCCAGAGTTGGGCGTGTGTGACTGTGAGGGTAGACGGCTGGTGGTGTGTGTGTGTGGCCATGTCTTGTACCTCACTGCTCTCTGGCATGGGCAACTGTATCTGGCGCTTACTTGCACGTGAGTTCCGCGGAGTGGTGATTGTTGTTGTTGTTGTTGCTTGTGTTGGTGGTTGTTGTGGTGTTGTTGTTTTTTTGTGTTGTTGTTGTTGTTTGTTGTTGGTTTTGGTTGTTGTTGTTGTTTGTGTTGGTGGTTGTTGTTGTTGTTTGTGTTGGTGGTTGTTGTTGTTGTTTGTATTGGTGGTTGTTGTTGTTTGTGTTGGTGGTTGTTGTTGTTGTTTGTGTTGGTGGTTGTTGTTGTTGTTTGTGTTGGTG